CGACTTTGTTGAACACGTACGTTTTACGAAGGGAATGGGTCAATTTTTGCGTCTAGGGGCCCTCTTGGGACGCATGTTGGAGGCTTCTTGGGGCCTCTTGGGGGCGTCCTTGGACGTCTGGGGTCTCCTGGGGCCTCTTGAGGGGCCTCCGGGCGGCCTCCTGGCGGCCTCTTGGGGCGGAAGGCTCGAGCTTGCGGTTCGTGGTCCCCCTCTGGGCCCCTTCTTGGGCCCGTCTTGGGGCCCTCTTGGGCCATCTTGGGCGCCTCTTGGGCCGTCTTGGGGCCCTCTTGGGCTGTCCTGGGGCCCTCATGGAAGCTTCTTGGGCCGTCTTGGGGCGGTCTTGGGCGCCTCTTGGGCCGTCCTGTAACGTCGGAAAGCCCAAAAGACAACTTTGTTGAAATTGTACGTTTTACGAAGGGAATGGGCCAATTTTTGCGTCTAGGGGCCCTCTTGGGACGCATGTTGGAGGCTTCTTGGGGCCTCTTGGGGGCGTCCTTGGACGTCTGGGGTCTCCTGGGGCCTCTTGAGGGGCCTCCTGGGGGCCTCCTGGCGGCCTTTTGGGGCGGAAGGCTCGAGCTTGCGGTTCGTGGTCCCCCTCTGGGCCCCCTCTTGGGCCCGTCTTGGGGCCCTCTTGGGCCATCTTGGCGCCTCTTGGGCCGTCTTGGGGCCCTCTTGGGCTGTCCTGGGGCCCTCTTGGAAGCTTCTTGGGCCGTCTTGGGGCGGTCTTGGGCGCCTCTTGGGCCGTCCTGTAACGTCGGAAAGCCCAAAAGGCAACTTTGTTGAAAATGTACGTTTTACGAAGGGAATGGGCAATTTTTTGCGTCTAGGGGCCCTCTTGGGACGCATGTTGGAGGCTTCTTGGGGCCTCTTGGGGGCGTCCTTGGACGGCTGGCAGGCCATCTTCAGCATCCTCGGAGATGACAGCCCCTCTTGAGGCCTCTGGAGGACGGAAGTTTTTCTTCTTGGGCCGCTTGGGCGCTCTGGCCGCTTGGGCGCTCCTGGCCGTCTTGTCTGACCGGGGAGCCTCCGGCAAGCAAGCCCCCGACGACCTCTGGGCCCCCCGGGGATGCACATTTGCGTCCGAGGTCCTGGCCCCGGCCCCCCCGGACTCCCGGTGCCCCCCCCATGTACTCACATGAGTAAAAACATTTAGATTTGTACACAGGAGAAGGACCATCTAGGAGAAACATATGTTAACTCAAAGAATTGTTCCAGGTGAGGCCAATCGATAGGAGCATTAGTAAAACACATGGGATTGGAGCCACTCGTGTTGCCTTCTGAGGCCTCCTGCTCCTGGGGCCTCTCGGGGCCTCCTGTTGCCTTCCGAGGCCTCCTGGCGCTTCCTGTTGCCTCCTGGGGTCTCCTGTGGTTTCCTGAGGCCTTCTGGAGCTTCCTGGGGCCTCCTGGAGCCTCTTGAGACATCCTGTGGCCTCTTGAGTCTTTCTGTGGCCTCCTGATGCCTCCTGGGACCTCATGTGGTCTCCTGGGGCCTCCTGGAGCCTGTTGGAGCCTCCTGTGGCATCCTGAGAAGAATCTGCGCCCACGAGCCTGGCCACCAAAACACGCAAACCGATCGAGACGTCCTCAAAATCTGGCCCACCTGGGGGTGAAAATGAGCGCCTCGCTCGAGACATCCTCCAAATCTGCTCCGAAAGCGAAGGATGTTGGGCACAGAAACAAGCACACCGCCTGAGACATCCCCACAAAATGGCCGCGAACGAGCCCGTGCAACCACCCCTGGCGGCTCCCCTTAGGGGTGCTGAAATGAGCGCCTCGCTCGAGACATCCTCCACATCTGCTCCGAAAGCGAAGGATGTTGGGCACAGAAACAGGCAAACCGCCTGAGACATCCCCACAAAATGGCCGCGAACGAGCCCGTGCAACCACCCCTGGCGGCTCCCCTTAGGGGTGCTGAAACCAGCGCCCCGCCTGAGACATCCTCACAATCTGCTCTCCAAGCGAAGGAGGTTGAGCCCAGAAACAAGCAAACCGCCTGAGACATCCCCACAAAATGGCCGCGAACGAGCCCGTGCAACCACCCCTGGCGGCTCCCCTTAGGGGTGCTGAGTATGAGTAAGTCTGTGTATGAGTAAGTCTGTGTATGTGTACGTCTGGGTATGACTAATACTGTGTATGAGTAAGTCTGGGTATGAGTGAGTCTGTGTATGAGTACGTCTGGGTGTGAGTAAGTCTGTGTATGAGTAAGTCTGTATATGAGTATGTCTGAGTGTGAGTAAGTCTGAGTATGAGTAGGTCTGAGTATGAGTAAGTCTGGGTATGAGTAAGCTTGTGTATGAGCAAGTCTGAGTATGTCCGACAGGAGGGGAGGAGAAAAGAGGAGGAGGAAGGAGGAGGAGTAGGAGGCGTCCAAGTAATAACAAGAACCCCATCTTAGGATATGGGGAATTATTCACTGCGTGGAGCTCCCCATATGTGCATCTGCTCGCATGGACCTGTCCGCCGTGAATGTCTAGGCGCAAGAGCTTTCGAATATTAACGGGCTTCAGTTGTGACGGTCTGGACATCAATCTAACTGCGAATGAATTGGAGTGTGAATGAGCCTCAGTAGTACGAGCGCGTCTCTGTGCATGAGCCTGGGGCCTCCTGGGGCCTCCTGAAACCTACTGGGGCTTCCTGGGGTCTCCAGGAGCCTCTTGGGACCTCCTGGGACCTCCTAGGAAGGTTTCGTGCCCCAGGGAGGCGCAATCTATAGCAACAGACGTACATAAAACATTGCGGATTAGAGCCACAGGAGAAGGGCAATATATAGGAACACGCGTAAAACACCAAGGACTCGTGCCCCAGGAGAGGCCCAATACATAGGAACATGAGTAAAACATTTAGGATTGTGTACACAGGAGAAGGACCATCTATAGAAACATACGTAGAACATCAAAGAATCGTGCTCCAGGT